GGGAGCCGTTTTGGGGGCCTGTCTGGGCCAACGGGGGACCCTCTTGGGGCGCTCCAGGGCCGTCTTGGAGGCCATCTTGGGCGTCTTGGAGGCCATCTTGGGCGTGTTGGAGGCCTCTTGGGCCGTCTTGGGGCCCTCTAGGGGCCATCTTGGAGGCCACTTGGGCCATCAGGGGGCTCTCTTGGGGGCCTCTTGGGCGATCTTGGGGGCTTCTTGGGCCGTCTTGAGCCGTCGGAGAGCCGAAAAGGCGCAAATGCCAAAATCCTTCAAAAACCAATGGAAAATCAATGATTTTGCCCTCTTCGGACTCTCCTGGAGGACCTCTTGGAGGCCTCTTGGGCCGTCTGGGAGGCCTCTGGGGGGCCTCTTGGGCCGTCTTGGGCCGTCTTGGACTCTCTTGGGCCGTTTTGGAGGCCGTCTTGGACCATCTCGGGCGGACTTGGAGGCCATCTTGGGCCATCTTCGCGATTTTTTGAGGATGTCCCGAGCGAAACGGCCGTTTTTGCGCACGGTGGCGGGTTCTGCCGGAGCCCACTGGGGAGTTCTTTTGGAAAAAGAACCAAAACCAAAACCTAACAGCTCGTCCAGCACGCCGTGCACCCCTGCAAGCAGGGGGCGGCGGATCTTGTGGCCTTTGGTCCGTCCCGCCACCGTGCTAGGGTGGTGGGTCAGAGGCCTCACGGATGTTGGTTGCGATCTCGCGGTCGGCTTCTCGGGGGCCTTCGGGAGGCAGTTTTGAAGCTTCGTGGGGCCCTTTTGGGCCTCTTGGGGGCCTCTTGGGGGCCTCGTGGGGGCCTCCCTGGTGATGCTGTGGGCCTCTTGGGGGCCTCCCTGGTGATGCTGGGCGCTCTTGGGGCCTCTTGGGCCCTCTTGGGGTCTCCTCAGGGCCTTTTAGGGCGGAAGGCTTGGATTTTCGGTTCGGGGTCCCCTTCTTGGGCCCCTCTTGGGGCCGTCTTGGGGCTCACTTGGGTCGTCTGGGGCGTCTCTTCGGCCATCTTGAGGCCCTCTTGGGCCATCTTGGGGCCCTCTTGGACGCCTCGTTGGCTGTCTTGGGGCGCTTTTGGGGGCCTCCTGGGCCGTCTTAGAGCGTCGAAGAGCCAGTATGGCGAGAGGGCCCAAATCCTTCAAACACCGAAACACATGACCGATTTTGGCCTTTTGGGGCAGTCTTGGCGGCCTCTTGGGCCGTCTTGGCGGCCTCTTGGGCCGTCTCGGGGCCATCTTGGGGCCATCCTGGGCATCTTGGGGAGATCGTTCGGCGCTGGGGCCCTCGTGGGCCCGAGAAAGTCACGCGAGAAGGCGCGGCAAGCCCCAGGGGGCACGCGCCGAGCCCAAGAAGGTCTGAGAATTGAGGGTCTTGGCCCCTGAGGGCTCCCCAGGACCGAGGACTGAGGCTCGGGGGGTTGGCCGGATGACGCCAACTCCGTGCGCAGGACACGGTGGCGGATGTCTACATGTATATGTAAATGTATGTATGCATGCATGTATGTATGTATGTTTGTATGTATGTATGTATGCATGTATGTATGTATGTATGTATGTATGTATGTATGTAGGTATGCACGTATGCATGCATGCATGCATGCATGCATGCATGTATGTATGTATGTATGTATGTATGTATGTGTACATGTTCACATACAGACATACGGACAATCATACATCCATGCACACATACACCCATACACGCGTACATTCATACGTGCATGCATACATACACATATGCATGCGTGCATACATGCACACATGCATTTATGCATACATGCATACAGACATAAGCACATACATACACACATACATACACACATACACACATACATGCATTTGTATAAACATACAGACAGACATACATACTTGCATGCATGCATGCATGCATACATGCACATACATAATTATACACACCGATACACATACATGCATACACACATACATACATGCATACACACATACATACATGCATGCATGCATGCGTGCATGCATACATACACACATACATACATACACACATACCCAAACACGGAACCTTACATACATACATGCATGCATGTATACATACGTACATTCAGACATTCATGCACACATATTTACACATGTACATACGTACCTACATACATGCACATGCACACAACCACACATACATACAAAACATACATGCATGCATGCAGCCATGCATGCACACAACTACACACACAGACACACAAAACAGAGGCACCGACACATTCACATACACATGCATACATTCGTGCATACAATCGTACATACTCACATACATACTCATATAAAAATACATAAAAGACTGCAGTGGCGCTTCGCGCCGTGCACCTTGTTCTTTGTAATTTTCAATGCAGGCAGCGTGCGTGCGCGTGGACATGGGGCGGGCCACCGCCAAGTTGGAATGGGTGAGGAATTTTTAAGCGGGAGCGACCAGACAACACCAGCTGAGGCCAGCTCAAGGCGTTTCGGGGCCCAGAGGCGCGAACACGTCTCAGGCGAGTGGTTGGTCTAGCATGAAGCAAGGCATCCTCCTTCTCTTTCTCCTCCTTCCCCTTTTCCTCCTCTCCTAGCTCCTCCTCATCCTCATCCTCTTTCTCCTCTCCCCCCCTCTTCCTCTAATTCCTCCTCCTCCTCTTTCTCCTCCTCCTCCTCAACCTCCTCCTCCTCCTTCTCCTCTTCCTCGTCCTCCACTTCCTACTCGTCCTCTTCTTCTCCCTGCTCCTCCTCTGTCTGCATCTTCCCCCCCATTATCCTTGTCCTTCTCTCCTTCCTCGTCGTCCTCTTCATCCTCCTCCTCTTCCTCCTCCTCCTCCTCTTCCTCCCCCCCTCCTTCTCCCCAGCGTGTCTCGCGATTTCGCTTCTAATCGTTGCGGCCTCATGAGGGCCCCAAAGAGCTTCAAAACAGGCCCCAGAGAGGCCCAAGGCTGGCCCAAGAGGGCCCGGGAAGGCAGCAATCCAACAGGGCCCGCAGAGTCGGAAATCAGAAAACAAAAGTTGGAAAAACAATGTTTTCGGCCTTTTCGCTTTTTCGCTTCTGGATGACTCAAGAGGCGTCAAGATGACCCCAGGATCGCCTCATAGAGGCGCAAGTCGAGGCCCACAGAGGCCCAAGGCTGGCCGAAGAGGGCCTAAATAATTGAAAATCCATTTGAGAAAAACATTGGACAATCAATGTTTTTGGTCTTCTTGCCTTGTCGCTTCCGAATTGGCTCTTGACATCGCTCGCAGCATCGAGATAAGCCCATGACGGCTTCAAATGAGTGCCCAGAGGAACCCGAAGGGGGGCACAGACTGGCCCCAGGGGGCCCGGAGGTTCGAGAATCAATGAAAAACCATGGGCGAAACAATGTTTTCGCCCGCATCGCCTTTTCGCTTCTGGTCGGCTCGGGAGGCGTCAAGATAGCCCCAGGATGGCTCCAGAGAGGCGCAAGCCGAGGCCCACAGAAGCCAAAGGCTGGCCGAAACAGGCCCAAATGATTGAAAACCCGTGACAACCAAGGGGAAATCAATGTTTTTAGCCTTCTCGCTTTTTCGCTTACTATCCGCTCTTGAGGCGTCAAGATTGCCCCAGGACGGCTCCAAGCGAGTCCCCAGACGAGCCCCAAAGAGTCCCAAGGCTGGCCTAAAAGAGCGCCCAAATAATTGAAAAACAATGAAAACCCATGGAGAAAACTAAGTTTTTGGCCTTCTCGCCTTTTCGCTTACGATCAGCTATTGAGACGTCGAGATAGCTCCCGGAGGGCTCCAAATGAGTCCCCAGACGAGCCCCGAACAGGCCCAAGGCTGGCGCAACAGGGCCCGGAGAGTCGAACATCAAAAAAACCCCTTTGAAAAAACAATGTTTTCGGCCTTCTCGCTTTTTCGCTTCCGGTTGGTTCGAGGGGCGTCAAGATGACCCCAGGATGGCCGCAGAGAGGCGCAAGACGGGCCCGAGGATTCGAAATTCGTTTGGGGGTGGGCTGCGCGGGGGTGTGGGCTCCTCGGCACCATAAAACATATGAGTAGGAACACACACACACACGCACACACATATATATATATATACACATACACATACATATGTATATGTATGTGCACACATTTCTATGTAACATATTTAACATGATACTGGAGAGAAGCCTCAATCACAGTCTTTTTTTATGGCTATAGGGCTACGGGGCTATAGGGCTATAGGGCTATAGGGCTATAAGGGTCTGGGGTTATAGGGCTTTAGGAACATACGGCTATAGGTCTATAGGCCCTAGGGCTACAGGGCTCTAGGGCGATAGGGGTATAAGGCTATAAGGCTATAGGGCCATAGGGCTATAGGGCTATAGGGCTATAGGGCTATAGGGCTATAGGATTATTAGGTCTATAGGGCTACAGGGCTACAGGGCTCCAGGGCTATAGGGCTATAGGGCTATAGTGCTATAAGGCTATAAGGCTATAGGGCTATAGGGCCATAGGGCTACCGAGCACCCGGGCCCCAGGGCCCCCCCCCCCGTGGGGCACCTCCGGGCACTCCTGGGCACCCAGGCACCTGGGCACTCGGGCACCCCTGGGCACCGGGGCACCCGGACACCCAGGCACCCGGGCCGGCCACCGAAATCGGCGACGAACCTCACCTAACCATATGAATCCGCTAGGACCCATACAGAGGTAAGCTCTGATTGGGGATATATATATGTATATAAATACACACATATATATATATAGATGTACACCTATACAGCATAAGAAGAGTGGAGGGGCAGGAGGAGGGGAAGAGGCGATGTGGAGCCGGCAAGTTGGAGAGGGAAGGGAACGACAAGAAGGCCGAGGAGGAGGATCCGGAGAGGGAGGGGGGAATACAGGAGGAAAGGGGCACACGTTCTTTTCCATGTCGTCCTTTTTCGCTCTGCTCTCTGCTTCTCGCCCTTCCCTCCCTCTTCATCCTCCTCCTCCAACCTCCTTCAGCTCCTGCCCTGCCTATCCGTCCTTCTCCCCTGTCCTCCTCCTAATATTCCAGCTCCATTTTTTCACACCAG